GAAGTAAATGCTAGGTGTTCGGGAGAGGGGTGGGATTAAATTATGGGGAATCAAATTCAAAATGGGAATTGACACAGTTACTTTTTGCTGATGATACTGTGCTTATGGGAGATTCTAAAGAAAAATTGCAAAGGTTAGTGGATGAGTTTGGGAATGTGTGTAAAGGTAGAAAGTTGAAAGTGAACATAGAAAAGAGTAAGGTGATGAGGGTATCAAATGATTTATATAAAGAAAAATTGTATATCAAATTGGGGAGGAGGAGTATGGAAGAAGTGAATGTTTTCAGATACTTGGGAGTTGACGTGTCGGCGGATGGATTTATGAAGGACGAAGTTAATCATAGAATTGATGAGGGAAAAAAGGCGAGTGGTGCGTTGAGGTATATGTGGAGTCAAAAAACGCTATCTATGGAGGCAAAGAAGGGAATGTATGAAAGTATAGTGGTACCAACACTCTTGTATGGATGTGAAGCTTGGGTGGCAAATGCAGCAGCGAGGAGATGGTTGGAGGCAGTGGAGATGTCCTGTCTAAGGGCAATGTGTGGTGTAAATATTATGCAGAAAATTCAGAGTGTGGAAATTAGGAGAAGGTGTGGAGTTAATAAAAGCATTAGTCAGAGGGCAGAAGAGGGGTTGTTGAGGTGGTTTGGTCATTTAGAGAGAATGGATCAAAGTAGAATGACATGGAAAGCATATAAATCTATAGGGGAAGGAAGGAGGGGTAGGGGTCGTCCTCGAAAGGGTTGGAGAGGGGGTAAAGGAGGTTTTGTGGGCGAGGGGCTTGGACTTCCAGCAAGCGTGCGTGAGCGTGTTAGATAGGAGTGAATGGAGACGAATGATACTTGGGACCTGACGATCTGTTGGAGTGTGAGCAGGGTAATATTTAATGAAGGGATTCAGGGAAACCGGTTAGTATTTTCATATAGTCGGACTGGGAACTGGAAGTACAATACCTGCACTTTAAAGGAGGGGTTTGGGATATTGGCAGTTTGGAGGGATATGTTGCGTATCTTTATACGTATATGCTTCTAAACTGTTGTATTCTGAGCACCTCTGCAAAAACAGTGATAATGTGTGAGTGTGGTGAAAGTGTTGAATGATGATGAAAGCATTTTCTTTTTGGGGATTTTCTTTCTTTTTTGGGTCACCCTGCCTCGGTGGGAGACGACCGACTTGTTGAAAAAAAAAAAAAAAATTCAGGGAAACTGGTTATTTTATATAACCAGACTTGAGTCCTGGAAATGAAAAGTACAATGCCTGCACTCTAAAGGAGGGGTTTGGGATATTGGCAGTTTGGAGGGATATATTGTGTATTTTTATACATATATACTTCTATCAATATTGGCAGTTTGGAGGGATATGTTGTGTATCTTTATGCGTATATGCTTCTAAACTGTTGTATTCTGAGCACCTCTGCAAAAGCAGTGATAATGTGTGAGTGTGGTGAAAGTGTTGAATGATGATGAAAGTATTTTCTTTTTTGGGGATTTTCTTTCTTTTTTGGGTCACCCTGTCTCGGTGGGAGACGGCCGACTTGTTGAAAAAAAAAAAAAATATATACTTCTAAACCGTTGTATTCCGGGCACCTCTGCAAAAACAGTGATTATGTGTGAGTGAGGTGAAAGTGTTGAATGATGAAAGTATTTTCTTTTTGGGGATTTTCTTTCTTCTTGGGTCACCCTGCCTTGGTGGGAGACGGCCGACTTGTTGGGAAAAAAAAAATATACACTCACTGTATTGAACACAACCGCACTAAAGTTATTATAATGTTGTTTACCACTTTTGTTTACTACAATAAACATGCACAAATGTTGTATAATACTAATGTTCTATTATATATTTACATATGTACAGTCACTGGCCATGTTTTTAGAATGGCTGCAGCTTGTGGAAGTCCTTGAAACAAGGTATCATGTACAGAGGTACCTTGCATTCCTCGCACATAAACCAAGTGTCTTTGCGTCTTTGTTGCCGTCGTTTAGTTTGTGCACAGACAACACATCTCTTCTGAGCAAATTTCTTCTTAGTTGCAGGAAGCTGTATTATGAAGTGATCACCTTCCCTCCTCAAACGCTTGGGTATTTCCTGAGGAGTTCGAGGACGGTTTTGTATAGCAGGTGTTGTTATCTGGTACTTCATTATGAGTGGTCTGACAACAGAAACAATTCACCATACAGTGGTTTGTTGTCGGTCTTTATTTGGTACATATCATATGCATTGAGCATTGAAATGTCCATGAGATGGAAGAAAAGTTTCATGTACCACTTGTAACTCGTATGAACACAAATAAAGCCAATCTGCATGTCACATTTGTCAACCAAGCACATGTTTTGTGTATAATCAATCACTGTCACTGGTTTTCGAATACGTTTATTAGTCACTATCAACTCTGCCACTGTCTTGCATTTCATTACAGTGAATGGTTGTCAACAATGTGACATCGCGTTTGTAATGCCATGATGTCATTGGCAGTAAACACCTGCACCTCACCACTACGAGTGCCAGCGTTGAACATGGGCATATGTTTACAATTAGAACGCACTGTGCCACACATATCTGTCATGTTCACTTGCAGAAATCACTTTAGGCTTGTGTACCGTTTTTTTTTTTTTCCAACAAGTCGGCCGTCTCCCACCGAGGCAGGGTGACCCAAAAAAGAAAGAAAATCCCCAAAAAGAAAATACTTTCATCATCATTCAACACTTTCACCACACTCGCACATTATCACTGTTTTTGCAGAGGTGCTCAGAGTACAACAGTTTAGAAGCATATGCTGTATAGCCCTTGTGGCTTAGCGCTTCTTTTTGATTATAATAATAATTAGAAGCATATACGTATAAAGATACACAACATATCCCTCCAAACTGCCAATATCCCAAACCCCTCCTTTAAAGTGCAGGCATTGTACTTCCCATTTCCAGGACTCGAGTCCAACTATATAATGTATATAATGTATGCCCCTTACCAAGATAAGGTGCCATCATGCTTCTCACCGTCACCTGAGATACCCAATAACATCCTGGTATCTTTCAATGTTTTACTTTCTGTGTATACAATAATATCCAATACCAGGCCACTGCCACAGTCACAGTACAAACAGTTTTATACCAAAGCGTTTCCTCTTGCTAGAGTGACAGCCTACATTTGAACAAAATCAAAGACTCGTCAATTACAAGATTCTTGAATGGATAAAAGTACATGTTGAACTTTTGTTTCAGATACATAAAAACATTTCTAATCTTGTATAACCTGTCACTTCTGTCAGGCCTGGTTTTGTCAGAAGTGCAACATATGTAACAGTAAGATAAACCTGTTCACTGGGATGATTTCACTGAAGGCCGGGGTACAAATTAGCCGATCTGTGGACCAGTTTGATTTTATATTATGCTTATAGACATGAGGCATAAGCACTATTGTTGCAAAAAGCAAATACATTTCAGCAACAGTTGTCTCTTTCCACCAGTGTAGTCTTGACTGTGGTGGTATGATCATGTTTGCCACGGTGTACTCAAAATACTTGTTACTTTCCCTGACAATAGTTTCCATCAAGGGCTGGTCAAAGAATAGTTCAAAGAATTTCAGTTCATTTGCAGTGTTTCCAAGGGGACAAGTTAGTAGAATTCCACTTTGAGAGTCATCAAACTGATGGGGCTTGGGAACAAAATTGGGATTTTGCTGCCAATCCCAGATACGGTTTGCTGGTGGATACTGGACATCATAAGCTGATTGTGGTTGTAGTTGTGGTGGCTGACACTTCACTTTGTCCTTGAGCTGAGGAGTCAGTGGCGTAGGTCCCAGTCTGGGCTGGCGAGTCATGCATGGCCGTGGCACTACCATCACCACTACCACCATCACCACCAATACCACCACCTACTGATGGCATGAATAGACCACAGGCAAGTGTACCCACATCATCCTCACTTTCACTGTCTATTCCTGGTGTAGGGCCAAGGGATGTACTCCATCCCCTGGGCACTGCATAGGGAACACTACCCGAGCGCATGCGGCGGCGTATATACCGATGTTTCACTGGTGAACATGATTCCTCACTATCACTACTCAAATGATCGTCAAGAGCAATAAAATCACAATCCTCGTCGCTATCATCATCATTACTGAAGTCTGAGGCCTGGCCACGTGAAAATATTAGTTTTCTCTTGCGACGAGATACAACTGAACGTGACTGAGACGTGCCCACACCAGAGGTAGAAGGTCGAGGATCGTCAGGATTTTCTGCACTATTTTCGATATCCTGGTCATTCCTTTTGGTCACTAATTGATCAAAGCCATAGAATTCGTCTTCATTTCCATTTCCATCAGAGTCAGAGCTATCAGACAGGAAAAGGAGAGTCCCAATTCGCCTTGGAATGAGAGCTGCCTTGCGAGGAGGCATGGTGAACAAAGGTAACTGAGGCGGCATTCCCACAATGCTATGTGGGCGCCTAGAATTTTTATTTATGGCTCACACGCACCACGCAGACCCGTTCTCTAACATGTAGAGCCTACCAGCCTTCTCGTGCTAAATTTGATGCCGCTAGAATTTTGGCGTAGATCTACGGCACGGACCCTCAAAGGGTTAACCTCCTGTGACAACTTTGATTCCAATTTTGTACCCACACTAACCCCTATTTGCAGTGCTATATGACTCATACAGGTTTACCACATATTTTTGAATGTAATAAAGGAGAAGCAAGTCCTTATTAATGGGCTTTCTCTGAAAACACTAGCAAGAGGAATATTATTAGAGATTATACATGAAGAATTAGCATTTTACAGGTGGACTGTCTGCATTCCTTCAATGAAGTCTTGAAAGACAGATGTACAAGAAAAGAAGTGAATTTTAGCAAGCTAGGGAGCAAGAGGGTAAATTTATTTAGAGAAAATGTATTATTTGCTTCAAAAATTCTAATAGTGTTCTGTATATGTGAAGTACTGTATCTGAGTAACTGGTTTTAAGTAGTTAATTATTTAATTTATAATTCAGATTTTGCATAAACTAACCTGCTGGAAATCGTGACTTCAACACGCCAGTTAAGATTTGTCATGACTGGGAGGGCAGGAGTTGTGGAAATAAGTTGCTTGTCAATATCTAACCGAGCAGATCCATAGACAACCTTGCACACATCAGAAGCAAATTCTTCTGGAAGTCTGTAAGAGAAACATACTTGAAAAAGTCTAGGCATTTTTCACATATTTTAAAAGCATTCCAAGTGTTTTACCTTGTGTCTTTCCTTCATTACTGTTGGCAGTATGCCATTTGGATCCAACCTATAGTGGCATCAGTACCAGTAAAGATTCTGAGGGGTTTTACATAAGCATCTGAGAACAATGATAAAATTACATGCTATTTTACACAAGATATAGCTGACTCCTCAATATCATGCACTCCTAAGCGCATTCCTTCAGGGGTAAAAAAAAAAAAAAAAAAAAAAAAATTACTTCATTATATAATAATTGCAGTGGTGGTGGTGATGCAGGCAATGAAGATGAATGTGACTAAGCCAGTATGACGTGATTTCCCTGCTTCACCACATTTATATGTTTTCTAGAATATAAAGTATTCCATCACTTGCCAGTATCAGCCCTTTCTACCATGTACAGTATTCATATTGATCTTCACTTTTCTTTACATCAGTGCAGCAGTCACTACAGTAATTGTTATCATGCAATGAGGTACATTTTTCCTTCCTTAACCCATTCAGGGTCTAGACCCGTGATCTGCAACTTGTCCACAGGGTCCAAGAATGTTCAAAATTTTTTTTTTATTTTTTCTTATGAAATTGTAGAGAATCTTTTCTGAAGGTAATAAAACAAAGTACGAAATTTGATGGAAAACTGATGAAATTACGCTCTTGCAAATTTTGCTGCATCAGCGATATTTACCCATCAGTGATTTTGCCCACTTTGACTCCCATTTTAGGCCAATTACATTATTCCAACTGACCAAATTCTTAGCTAATTTACTAGTATTACTTCTATTTTATCAATTGGGCACAAGGAAATTGCCCAATCAACTATTTCAACTACACAATAAAGTGATTGGAAATTGGTAATTTGGTCAATTTCACAAGTTCAGAATATTCCAATTTCAAAATAGGGTCCAGAATAAACAATGCAGGCATTCCTGGCACTAAAATAACATTTCTTCTGTTAATTAGTTATGTTTCCAGGCTTTACAAATGAATTCCATTTTTATTTTTTATTCACATAATGAAATTTTATTCACACCAAAAAATAGAAGATTTACTCTTATGCAATATTGTAATAATTGTATAAATAATATCACCGCATTTGTGAACACACATCAGACCCACCAACTGACATGAATTGGAAACGTGATGTCATTTGTTTACTCTTGAACATCTGCAAAAATCGAACATTTCTGCTACTTTGAGCTCAGTTTCAAGCCACTGTCAATAATAAAACCAATGAAAATCATCTATATTTCTATAATATATTTTCCACTCTATCAAATGAGACCAAGAAACCGCAAATACAACTGTAAAAAACAAATATACACCGCAAAGTCGCTGTTTTAATAAAAAAATACGGTAATTTTTTTTTCTCGTTATGCACTGCGTGCTACAGGATTTGTTTTCTATGGTGCACACTTACCACAGATGCATTCTCTCATATCTAGGCCCAAATTTACCACTCACAGCTTATCTGAGTGAGCTGAGCTAATGACATAGTACTACGGCTTGGACCCTGGCTTAAACGCCGTAGAACTACGGGATGGACCCTCAAAGGGTTAAGAAATAGGCTCGTGAATGTAATACAGTAGTACCAAAAATTTTAAAGATCTGGAAAGCTACTGTCCCTGACATGTCAAGTTTAGTAGAGTTAAAATATAGACAGAAGTGTGGTAAATAGGGTGGATGAATTATGCTCAGCAATACCACTGTCATTTCAATTTAACTGGAATATCCTATATGACAGAAAGATTGTAGTTTTCAGTTCTGGATTAATGACTTTCAACTATTTCTGCTTTTGCTTATTTATCTGGCATATTTTTTATTATAAAGAACACATTCTATGCATGCAATTAATAACTGATACTGTAACAGACACCATTACTACCACCTCCTTGCCTCCAATAAAATATTTGTTTCCACCTCATCAAATTTTGTACTCAAAGTTTCAAACAAAAAGAGTACTGTAATATGTTTTGAAGGAGTACGATAGGAATTTCCTATGACAGCTTGTTATATTCACTCACCCAATATTTGTAAGATCAGCCAAGAATACATCCTGACGAGCGGTAAGTGTATTAACCCTAAGTGCTGCCCGTAGTAAGGACACTACACCAGCATACTGGATACAAGTATTCTGTAGACAGTATTTAAGAGTACATGTTACTTAACTTAAACAAGATCTCCTACATCATGTGTTCTAAATTTACGTACCAAAAATAATTGAACTAGAGATAACATCCCTAGCCCCACAAATTTTTTCTCCAATTTACAAAAATTATGAATTAGCAAAGGTCATTGGGACAAAAATTTAAAAAATAGAAAAATATATGCTTTCAAAGACAGTACAGCATTATAGGTAAATGGTATGGTAAACAATTAGAGCTTAAATATTTAACTACACACACTGAGCAATGCAGGACTGATAGTTTATTAAATTTTCCTGAGTAATAACAACTTCAATAAATCTGAACTGAGTACAGAATATAGTATATACTGTAAGTAAATGTGGTACTGTACCTTAAAAGCTCACGTACATGTATTAGTAATAATGTGAACTAGATGCGTTATGCTCACTGCGTGATCAGAGAAAGGTATCCCCGTATCCCATAAATCTCAATGCATACAAAAAGCAATAGTACAGAGTGCATCAAAAGTATCTTAATACAATTAAATATCAGCACTGAAGATTTGAAGCCAATCAGGAAAGGCATTCACAAGCTATTGCCTGGATTATTATTATAATCAAAGAAGCACTAAACCTACAAGGGACTATTGCCTGGAAATTAATATCCCAATTTCTTCAATAAAATTGTAACATGGCACCCACACAGTCCAAAATTCTATTCAAATCTTCCACTTAGATAGAATAGCTTCAGAAGTTTAAAGTCAATCAGAGGATGCATTCTCTGGTCATCATTCAGAGGCATTATTCCAACTTTAATGCCACTTATTGGCATTAAAGTCGATTGAATGAGTCATTTACAAATTATCACATGAAAACCAGTGTTTAAATTTTCCCAAATTCTTAAGTAAAATTTAAGAGCTGGTACCTTCACAACTCAAAATCAATCCAAATTTCTTTATGCAAGATAAACCAGTATACCTGGAGAGGTTTTCAGGGATCAACGCCTCAGTGGCCTGTGACCAGGCCTCCCAACAGAATCAGGGCTCAATCAACCAGGCTGTTACTACTGGCTGTATGCAAACCAATATACAAACCACAGCCAGGCTCCTCAGATACTGACTATAGATGCCTGTCCAGTGCCTTCTTGAAGACAGCCAGGGAGCTATTGGTAATCCCCCCTATATATGCTGGGAGGCAGTTGAATACTCTTGGGCTCCTGTCACTTACGTACTGTGTTGTCTTTTAGTGTACTCCTGTTGCCCCTGCTTTTCACTGAGAGGATTTTACATCTCCTGCCCAGTCTTTTGCTTTATTAGTTTTTAAGGTTTGAAGTTGATCAAAAAGAGGCATTCTCCAGCTAATACACAGAAACCATTTTGTTTAATAAAATTGGCAAATTAAAACCTACACAACCCAAAAGCAATATAAAGCTTCCTTTGAGAAAACACACTTGCTCTAAAAGTTTAAAGCTCACCAGACGACTCATTCTCGTTACTGCACAGAATTTAACAATTCCAGGTTTATTGGCTAGGTTAGTTATTTGGTAAATCTGTATCTACACAACCTAAACTTACTGGGTACCATTCTGTCCATAAAATTCATCAGTCATTAAATATTGAGGCAGTTCAGACGAGACATACTCAGGTATCTCAAAAAATACTAAGCCATGAACTCAAATTAAGTTGTAATAAACGAATATCGATGCATAAACAGAAGGATAGGAAGGGTGGACAAGGAGCTTGAACCACGGTCCGAAAATTGACAGTCCAATGCTGTACTGTCTAGGCTAACCCAGGCATCTGATAGTAAGGATTTGGAAACAATACTTACTGTATTACATTATGTCAAGAGACACCAACTGTAACCCAACTGAGCTCCTTCCCTTTTTATATCTGCTATTAGGATGAAAAACAATAAATGTGCCTGAACTTTTTACTTTGGTAGGCCTGAATTTTGTTTGGTTTACCTTCACTCTTTGTGACATTTTGGTTAAAAATTTGGAAATAATTTTCCCCCTACCTTTCATGTTATAATGCACTATATAGTGACCTTTTATTAGCAATCACTCCAGAGTCTAAATTTTAAATATTTCAATTTCTATGTGATTTTTTCTGTGGTATAATATATGTGACAGGCAAGATCTTGCTCTAAAACTATGTTGTCATGGGTTGTGGATGTCTATAAAACTGGCAATTTGCCTTCTTAGCACTGTCAAAATTTTTTTATGAGCTGTAGATATTTTGCTATTGCTCTACTGTCTCCTGTGTAGTGGAGCTATAAATGCCCTATTCAGGATCTCTGGAATTTCACCTGTCTAAACTTTTTTAAAGGTACTGTGGATCTTTCTTTCTTAAAGAATTTCAATTTTTTTTTATATATTTATAAAAAAAAATTGAAATTCTTTAAGCAAGGACATCCACAGTACAAGATTAAAGCCCTAGCAGAATGCATGGGCATGTTATTAGTTCATTTTTCAAAATCTGTAGGGCTGTATAGATATCAGTTATGCACTTTGAAAAGGGAGCAGGATTTTAAAAAATACATCTGAGTTTTCTATTCTCATGGTTTCACACCGCTCTTTCAGAATTGTATGGTATGGTAAGGAGTGAATAATGAAGCATGCTAGCAGTGTGAAAAATGGCTTTTCACTTATGACTAGTATTTCAAGGTAAACATGAATGAGTTAACATATGTACTGTTTGATTTGTGTACCTCATTTCTTTGGGAAAGGGAAACAATACCCTATTCTGTAGATAAAAAAATATTAGAGCTTACTAGGATTGACTACCTATATTTCTTATGAAATTATTAATACTTTTTCCTAAGAGTATTACTGTACAATACAACACTTGCATCTTACCAACACTGACTCTTCTGTCGCAGTGTGGGAAGATTCGCACAGTTGCTTCATCACTGCTTCACATTCCTCTTGTCCTAGACTTCCCTGCAGGAAACCCAGCCCCACTGTTGAAGATAGTTATTTAACAGCTTGATTTATGTAGTTTCCCTCCCTACCAGATACTAAACTCACTATTACAAAAGGAACATGGTTTATTATACTATTACAGTAGTCCCTCGTTTATCGTCGTTAATCCGTTCCTGGAAGTGCAACAATAATCGAAAAAGACAATTTTCGAATCAATTTTCCCCATAAGAAATAATGTAAATACAATTAATCCATTCCTGACACCCAGAAGTATTAAAACAAAAATTTTTTTTACATGAAATATAGATGTAGTACATAAACAATACAATGGGACATGATGAATGAAACATTAACAGCATAACACTTACCTTTATTGGCGATTCTTTTTAGTGTATGGAAGACTGGAGGAGGAAAGAGATTGGATTAGTTACTGTTTGGAAGGGAAATCCCCTTCCATCAACACCCTAGGTACCAAGTCCTTTTCTGAGGTTACTTCTCTTCTCTGTTTCTTAATGCCACTAGGACCAGCTTGAGAGTCACTGGAGCCCTGTCTCGCCAAAAAAAGTGTCCAGAGAGCTCTGTTTCTGGTGTCTCTTTAAAACTTCCCTAAAATGGGCCAAGACTCTGTCACTGTACAAGTTGCCGATATGGCTTGCAACATCCTTCTCAGGGTGATGTTTCTCCATAAATCTTTCCATCCTACCCCACATTTCAAAAATCTCCTTAATTTCTGAAGAAGGCACCTTCTTCCATCTCTCTTCCTCCTCCTCCTCTGCAGCAAGATTCTGAGCTGCGATCTATTGCTGTTCCTGCTGAAGCTCTTGCAACTTCTCAGTGGTTAGCTCTTCGTTGTGGTCCTCCACCAACTCTTCCATATCCTGTGATGAATGGTTTAGAAAACTGATAAGTTGAAGAATTGAGACACTTATGCAACACATGGGAATCTTTATTGAAGTCCATCACTCTTGTAGGAAATGCAGCACAGGGCCAGAGAGGTGGCTTATATACTGCAGTGAGATGAGGTGAAGCAGGAGGAGGCGGGATCACAGTGGGACCTGCCACTAGTGTAAGTAGGTCGTCGTCCAAAGGTTGGGCAAGCGTTGAAGTCTTTGTACCAAGATCCCATGTGTTGCATAAGTGTCTCAATTCTTCAACTTGTTGGTTTTCTAAACCATTCATCACATCTGTCAGACACTGCAACATCATGGGATCTTGGTACAAAGACTTCAACGCTTGCCCAACCTTTGGACGACGACCTACTTACACTAGTGGAAGGTCCCACTGTGATCCCGCCTCCTCCTGCTTCACCTCATCTCACTGCAGTATATAAGCCACCTCTCTGGCCCTACGCTGCATTTCCTACAAGAGTGATGGACTGAACACATCGATTCCAGGTTGAGGGACTGATTACCTCAAACTTCTCCTCTCCTTACCCATTTCTACTTTGTATTGGACTGATGAAGCCACTGTGTGGCGAAACGTTTTTTCAATAAAGATTCCCATGTGTTGCGTAAGTGTCTCAATTCTTCTTCCATATCCTCCAAACTCGCATCCAACCCCATGGAACTCCCCAATGCCACAATAGATTTCACAACTGACATAGGCTCATCAGGGTCAGCCACAAACCCTTCAAAATCCCTCTTGTGGACACAATCTGGCCACAATTTTCTCCAATCAACAACAGCTTCCTTGATTTACTTTTTCTTTGCCACGATGGAAGATATGGTTGTATGGGGCTTGTTATACATCCTGGCCAGTTCGGCCACACGTACACCACTTACATATTGTTCAATGTTTTTCTTAAATTCAATCGTATTTCTCACCTTCTTTACCAAAGGCTTGGCACTAGGAGCTTTCTTTGGAGCCATGGTAGCTTATTTAGCACTTGCAAGCACTAAAATGAATGGAATATTATGAAACATTTCGTATGAACAAGTGAGGGGACTGTCGCTCACTGGTAAACAATGGCACACTGGCTGGGAAGGGAGGCCGAGGCGGCTCAGAGCCATGAGTACGCGTCCCGGACGAACGACGATTAGTGAGTCAACCAACCATTTGCGAGCCAATGTTTGGACGACTATCGAGCTCGACTATTATCAAGGGACCACTGTATTTATGGGGAAGCACTAAACCCATAAAGATAACAGTGTTAGGAATATGGAACAATTTACTGATAATGTGGTACAGTACATAAAAGTAATTTTGTGGACTAGTGCTACAAAAAAATTCAACTAGGAAAGTATAGATTAGTAATTACAATTATGAGTGGAAACTTAGGTTTATACTGTTGAAGGGCAGCCAGCCTTTACCATCAGGCATGAACTTGAGTAAGGATGAGGTACTTAAACTACTGGAGCCCTGTAAGGATGACCTGCAAGTGTTCCAGAAGCATAACTTGGCAACACAAGGGCAATCTCTGCACCAGGAAATAAATTCTGGAATACCTGGTTGTGGAGAAAATGGACTGTGCCACAGTAACAACAAACCTGTGCTAACAATATGGTCCTGAAAGAGGTAACTACAGAACAAATCAAATAAAAAATGATTTTCAAAAAACATTAAATTACAGATAATAAGTATGGAACAAGCGAGATAATGTAAGTGAATCTGACGTATTGTACCCCATAGCAGAGGACATGGATTTGAAACTTCCATACCCTGTGGGTTTAGTGCTTAGTTTTGATTATAATAATGGAACTTCCATAACCTGAATCCTCATTATGAATGAGCTTCAGTATCAGGCAACCTGAGCATCCTCCTTCAGTCATAGAGTTGTCAGGCAGTGGAATAGCCTAGAAAATGACGTAGTGGAGGCAGGAACCATACACAGTTTTAAGACGAGGTTTGATAAAGCTCATGGAGTGGGGAGAGAGAGGGCCCAGTAGCAACCGGTGAACCACCTGGCAAGGAGAGCCATCTGACATGTCAGCTAGCAAAACAGAAGAAGTTGCTCCTGGAAGACACTCAAAGGCTGAAGGCTAATGCTGCTTCTTGAACCAGAGACAGGATTCGTGAAGCTCTGGTGGGGTAAGCAAGTATTGGCTGTGAAAACGTGAAGGAGAAAGGAACAAGCCCACCCTCACTTTCATTAAACCTGGAAGCAAAACCAAGTTGCTTTCATATTCGTAGTGTCCGGATGTCTTCTGCATCAGTGAACCAAGTCCACTACTTCATAAAACAACTGGATGATCATGAAATATTAATTTCCTATTTCAGGAGTTGCTGACAATTGGCATCATCATACACCTCCTCTCCCCAATTAGTCCATTAATGAGAGGTTTTACTGTACTAATGAAAATATACAGGTACAGTACAAGTGTATATAATATTTTGTACTTAACCTTTTGACTGTCACAACCCAAAATCCTGAGGTGTCTCCTGGTGTTTACCTGGAGTTTACCTGGAGAGAGTTCCGGGGGCCAACGCCCCCGCGGCCCGGTCTGTGACCAGGCCTCCTGGTGGATCAGAGCCTGATCAACCAGGCTGTTGCTGCTGGCTGCACGCAAACCAACGTACGAGCCACAGCCCGGCTGATCAGGAACTGACTTTAGGTGCTTGTCCAGTGCCAGCTTGAAGACTGCCAGGGGTCTGTTGGTAATGTGTCGCAAAATATATGAAAAAAAAAATTTTTTTTTTTCTTATGAAATGATAATCTTTTCCCAATGGTAATGACACCAAAAGTATGAAATTTGATGGAAAGCTTACGGAATTACGCTCTCGCGAAGTTAATGACCTCGGCAATATTTACAAATCGGCGATTTGGCCCACTTTGAGCCCTATTTTCGGCTAATTCCATTGTTCCAGTTGACCAAACTCATAGCTATTTCTTTAGAACTCCATTTGTTCTATCAATTGCGCACAAGAAACTACCCATTTACAGATTTCAACTACCCAATAAAGTGGTCAGAAATTGGCAATTTGGCCAATTTCACGTAAATTAAATATGCCAATTTCAAAATAGGGTCCAGAATAAACAATGCAGACATTCCTGGCTCTAAAATAACATTTTCTTTGTTCATCAGTTACGTCTCCAGGCCCCTCTGATATTACTCTTGCTTTCTATTTTGAATTTTTACTTAACAAAAAATAGAAGATTTACTGTTATGCAGACTACTGCAATATTGTAATAATTGTATAAATAATGTCAACCCATCCATGACCGCATATCAGAATGGCTAGTTGGACATTTATTAGACAATGACATCATTTGTTTACTCTTGAGCATTGGCAAAAATCAAACATTTCTCCTACTTTGAGCTCCAATTCAAGGTCCTTTTCATAGTAAAATCAATCAAAATCTCCTCCAGTTCTATGTTTTCCATTCTATCAAATGTGACCATGAAAACAAGAATATAACCATAAAAAACTATACGAAAATACACCTCAAAGTTGGCATTTTAATCCAAAAATACGGTCAGAGTTTTTTTTTTCTCATTATGCACTGCTTGCTGCAGGATTTTTTTTATACTGCACACACTGACTACACAGCCCTATTCTCTCACATGTGGGCCTACCAGCTTTCTGCCGCTCGATTTGAAGCCGCTATAATTTTTGAGTATATATACATACATCAAACACATTAGCTCGCAACACGTATAGATACGAGCGAAACAGTCAGAGAGTTAAAGAACAGACCATAAAAATATATGCTACCATCAAGTGACTATTTAGCAACAATAAATATACATACACTTAATCATTCTCCTGAATGTGAGCTTGTCCATGCTGTGTGAGGTCTTTATGAGAGTTTTCACCTCACATGGAACACTTGCAGTGAAAACAACATTTTCATGTACACCTCTGGGGGAAGCACAACTTATCATCTTGCTTCACTTATTACCTTGGGATTAATAAAAAAAATTATTTTAATAGTGTGGTCTATAAAATTGTTTTGTATAATTATATAATCATACAGTTGTAGAGAGTGGAACAATCTCCTAGGTAACACCACTGCAATGAGAATTATGGATCACTTGGATGGGTATATGAATGGGTGTTGAGCTTGAATTTTATCTGCCTAGCATGGGTCAATAGGCCTAATGCAGTGTTCTTTAATTATGTTCCTATTGTACATGAAATGTTCATTTGAATTACAGTACAGTGATCCCTCAATTATCGTCCTTAATCCATTCCTGGAAGCAGGACTATTATCGAAATAGACGATTTTCGAATCAATTTTCCCCATAAGAAATAATGTAAATCCAATTAATTCGTTCCAGACACCCAGAAGTATCAACAACAACTTTTTTTTTTTTACCTAAAAGATAGATTTACATGCACAAAAGAATGAACATTCAACATGACAGTTACCTTTATTGAAGGCTGTTGTTGATGAATGGAAGACAGGGAGGAGGAGAGAGGGAAGAGAGGTTATTGTTTGGAAGGGGAATTCCCCTCCATAAGGACTCTAGGTCACTTCCCTAGCATAAATATAGATTTACATGCAGAAAAAAATGCCAAATAAATGTAAAGCACTAATAAAATGTATAAATGAACATTGGTAATAGGGGTAGTTGAGTGGAACGGTCTGCCTAGTAGGGTGATCGAAGCTAAAACATTGGGTAGTTTCAAATTTAGGTTGGATAAATACACGAGTGAGAGGGGTTGGATTTGAGTCGGACTTGCACCTGAGCTTATTGCTTGGGTAGCATTTGTTCTCTTAGTGGGTTGGGTTTGTGAAGGACCGGCCTAGTATGGGCCAGCAGGCCTACTGCAGTGTTCCTCCTTTCTTATGTTCTTATTGGAGACTTGTTTGTGTGAGGGAGGGATGGCAAATTTATTGTTGGAGAATATGACACTAATATCAACACTTCAGCTTATTTATCTATCACAATCAACTAATATGACATAATAAACAATATTAATAACATAGAAACATGGAATATACTCTAGAAGAGTGAATAAAATAAGTAATTATGTATGTCACGAGAGGTGTTGTGTTGTGTTGTTGTTGGGTATATAAGGGCCACTGAGAATAAGCCATCCATAATGGTGGTGAAGCAGCAGCGGAGGCGGTGGTGTTTTCTGTAGCCCTATATAACTCCAACAACACTGGAGGAGTTGGTAGAATTGCTGAATCACTAAAGAAGGAACCCTCTACCACCATCACTATGACCTTCTACCACTATTACAACTGTTACCACTATCACTACTACCTTCTACCACCATCACCCACTATCACAACTGCTTCCACTCTACCACCACCACCTTTGTATTTTTCTACAAACTTTTTCATAAATTATATGTGTTTCTCACATTCTTTACCAAAGGGCTGGCACTAGAAGCTCTCTTTGGAGCCATGGTAGCTTATTTAGCACTTGCAAGCACTAAAATCAATGGAATATGAAATATTTCGTAGGAGCATGTGAGGGGACCATCGCTCACTGGTAAACAATGGCACACTGGCTGGGAAGGCAGGACCAGGCGGCTCAGAGCGTGAGTATGCGCCCGGACAAAGGACGATTAGCGAGTTAACGGACCATTTGTGAGCCAATGTTCAGACGAAATAACGGGACTATTTCCGAAATGGTCGACTTTCAGGCCGGACGATTATTGAGGGACCACTGTACTTTAAATTAATCATGAAATGTTCATAACTACAAAATTATATTTTTCCTTCTAAATTACAACTTTTAACCCTTTCAGGGTCCGTCCCGTGGATCTACGGCTTTACGTTCAGGGTCCAAACCGTAGATCTACGTCATGAGCTCAGCTCACTCTGATAAACTGTGAGTGGTACATTTGGGCCTAGATATGAGAGAATACATCTATGTGGTATGTGTGCACCACATAAAACAAATCCTGCAGCACACTGTGTATAATGAGAGAAAAAAAATGAAATCATGATTTTTCGATTAAAACAGCGATTTTGCAGTGTTTTTTATAGTTGTATTTGCGATTTCTTGGTCTCATTTGATAAAACGGAAGACATATTACAGAAATAGAGATGATTTTGATTGGTTTTAGCACTGGAAATGGCTTGAAACTGAGCTCTAAGTAGCGGAAATGTTAAATTTTTGCCGATATTCAAGAGTAAACAAACAACCTCACACGTCTAATACACGCCAGCTGGTGGGTCTAATATACATTCACAAATATTACCTGGAGTTTACCTGGAGAGAGTTCCGGGGGTCAACGCCCCCGCGGGCCGGTCTGTGACCAGGCCTCCTGGTGGATCAGAGCCTGATCAACCAGGCTGTTGCTGCTGGCTACACGCAAACCAACGTACGAGCCACAGCCCGGCTGATCAGGAACTGACTTTAGGTGCTTGTCCAGTGCCAGCTTGAAGACTGCCACGGGTCTGTTGGTAATCCCCCTTATGTGTGCTGGGAGGCAGTTTGAACAGTCTCGGGCCCCTGACACTTATTGTATGGTCTCTTAACGTGCTAGTGACACCCCTGCTTTTCATTGGGGGGATGGTGCATCGTCTGCCAAGTCTTTTGCTTTCGTAGTGAGTGATTTTCGTGTGCAAGTTCGGTACTAGTCCCTCTAGGATTTTCCAGGTGTATATAATCATGTATCTCTCCCTCCTGCGTTCCAGGGAATACAGGTTTAGGAACATCAAGCGCTCCCAATAATTGAGGTGTTTTATCTTCGTTATGCGTGCCGTGAAAGTTATCTGTACATTTTCTAGGTCGGCAATTTCACCTGCCTTGAAAGGTGCTGTTAGTGTGCAGCAATATTCCAGCCTAGATAGAACAAGTGACCTGAAGAGTGTCATCATGGGCTTGGCCTCCCTAGTTTTGAAGGTTCTCATTATCCATCCTGTCATTTTTCTAGCAGATGCGATTGATACAATGTTATGGTCCTTGAAGGTGAGATCCTCCAACATGATCACTCCCAGGTCTTTGACGTTGGTGTTTCGCTCTATTTTGTGGCCAGAATTTGTTTTGTACTCTGATGAAGATTTAATTTCCTCATGTTTACCATATCTGAGTAATTGAAATTTCTCATCGTTGAACTTCATATTGTTTTCTGCAGCCCACTGAAAGATTTGGTTGATGTCCGCCTGGAGCTTTGCAGTGTCTGCAATGGAAGACACTGTCATGCAGATTCGGGTGTCATCTGCAAAGGAAGACACGGTGCTGTGGCTGACATCCTTGTCTATGTCGGATATGAGGATGAGGAACAAGATGGGAGCGAGTACTGTGCCTTGTGGAACAGAGCTTTTCACCGTAGCTGCCTCGGACTTTACTCTGTTGACGACTACTCTCTGTGTTCTGTTAGTGAGGAAATTATAGATCCATCGACCGACTTTTCCTGTTATTCCTTTAGCACGCATTTTGTGCGCTATTACGCCATGGTCACACTTGTCGAAGGCTTTTGCAAAGTCTGTATATATTACATCTGCATTCTTTTTGTCTTCTAGTGCATTTAGGACCTTGTCGTAGTGATCCAATAGTTGAGACAGACAGGAGCGACCTGTTCTAAACCCATGTTGCCCTGGGTTGTGTAACTGATGGGTTTCTAGATGGGTGGTGATCTTGCTTCTTAGGACCCTTTCAAAGATTTTTATGATATGGGATGTTAGTGCTATTGGTCTGTAGTTCTTTGCTGTTGCTTTACTGCCTCCTTTGTGGAGTGGGGCTATGTCTGTTGTTTTTAGTAACTGTGGGACGACCCCCGTGTCTATGCTCCCTCTCCATAGGATGGAAAAGGCTCATGATAGGGGCTTCTTGCAGTTCTTGATGAACACAGAGTTCCAGAGTCTGGCCCTGGGGCAGAGTGCATGGGCATGTCATTTATCGCCTGTTCGAAGTCATTTGGCATCAGGATAACATCGGATAGGCTTGTGTTAATCAAATTTTGTGGCTCTCTCATAAAAAATTCATTTTGATCTTCGACTCTCAGTCTGGTTAGCGGCTTGCTAAAAACTGAGTCATATTGGGACTTGAGTAGCTCACTCATTTCCTTGCTGTCATCTGTGTAGGACCCATCTTGTTTAAGTAGGGGCCCAATACTGGACGTTGTTCTCGATTTTGATTTGGCATAGGAGAAGAAATACTTTGGGTTTCTTTCGATTTCATTTATGGCTTTTAGTTCTTCCCGCGATTCCTGACTCCTAAAGGATTCTTTTAGCTTAAGTTCAATGCTTGCTATTTCTCTGACCAGTGTCTCCCTACGCATTTCAGATATATTGACCTCTTTTAGCCGCTCTGTTATTCTTTTCCGTCGCCTGTAAAGGGAGCGCCTGTCTCTTTCTATTTTACATCTACTCCTCCTTTTTCTTAGAGGAATAAGCCTTGTGCATACATCGAGTGCCACCGAGTTAATCTGTTCTAGGCATAAGTTGGGGTCTGTGTTGCTTAGTATATCTTCCCAGCTTGTATCGGTTAGGACTTGGTTTACTTGGTCCCACTTTATGTTTTTGTTATTGAAGTTGAATTTGGTGAATGCTCCCTCGTGACTAATCTCATTATGTCGGTCTGGGGCTCCGCGCATACATGACTGAACCTCAATTATGTTGTATGGTGATGATATTTATACAATTATTACAGTATTGCATAACAGTAAATCTTCTATTTTTTGCTGTGAATAAAAATTCATTATGTGAATAAAAAATCAAAATGGAATTTATTTGTAAAGCCTCAAAACGTAACTAATGAGCAGAAAAAATGTTAGTTTAGTTCCAGGAATACCTACATTGTTTATTCTGGACCCTATTTTGAAATTGGAATATTTTGAACTTTGTGTTAAATTGGCCAAATTAACAATTTCCGACCACTTTATTTTATAGTTGAAACAGTTGACTTGGCGATTTCTTGTGCTCAATCGATAGAATAGAAGTAATACTAGTGAAATAGCTAAGAATTTGGTTGACTGGAATAATGTAATTGGCC